CCGCTCCTCCTCCGCTCCGCTGTCCCAGGTACCTGCCCACCCCCATCTACCGCACTGCCACTCCGCGGCTGTGCCCCTGGTTTCATCGCGTTGACCCAGAGCAGAAGTTCGCTGAGACGGCTCTTGCTTGCAGGCAGCAGGCGGGTGAAGTATCAAGCGACGAGAACGCTATGCAAATTGGTGGATATCCTATTTAACAGGAGGTGAGCTTTGGTTTCCCGCACACGCGTCATATTTCTGCTACTGATTTGTTGCATAACTAGTACAGCATCTAAGCTGCTCTGAAGTGTACCTCCTGGGCATATGAAATCAATAATTTTCTTCTAGTTTTACTTATCACTCAAATTACATGAACTCTGGTTTATGGAATTATTTTGCAGCTGAAGGCTGAACAGGTCTAGTCATGCCTCACTGATTAATGTGACTGGCTGACTTTCTTTCTACAAATATCTTTGTGTTGTTTTCAGTTTACACTTGGAGTGATTTAATGCTTACACAGTTGATAGAATTAGATACACAGTACTTCCAGAGATTGAGATTAATTTAGCACTATGAAATTTCAAAAAGCTACTGACCTTATGGAATGTGGACCATGTCTTAAATCTGCTGCAAAAATTATGCGTACATTATGGCCTAAGTGTCATTTATGTTTGAATTGCACATGTGGGTCCACAATTAAATGTATTACTGTGACATAACTTTCACAGAAGTCGGGACGATGCACCGGAAAACAACCCTAGACGCCTGCGTCCTGGGAAAGTATCTCCACGCCTTAGTGTTCCCAATCATATACAACGGCCTCCATATGTCAATTCTCGTCAACAAAGACCTGGTATGAATAATGGACCTGAAATACATGATGAGAAAGGGATCGAGTGCATGAGAGCTTCTGGAAAGCTTGCTGCACAGGTTTTGAAGTTTGCTGGGACTCTTGTAAAGGTAATGTCATGTTGCTACAAAAGCTTGATCTTATCAATCAGTAAACTATTGTTTCCACTAGATAAACCTCATTCATTCTACAGTTTTTAAAGTAGTTTACTGTTTGATGTTTCCTCCGTAGTGTTAAGGCTTTGAACAGAACGAAATTATGAACAATAACTCTCCTTTTTTTCTTCTAAATTATCACTCTCATCTTCTCTAGTATGGGCAATAATTAAGTCTTGTTGTGTCATTTGTTTCTTAGTGTCGTTTATATCTGGAAATATTGAAATAGGTAGCACTATAGGAAGGAAGCAAGACAGTTGGTTTTCTTTCCATCAGATGTATGATTCTTTGCTATTCTTCAACTTAGTATATACTTCGAGATCTAAGATTAAATACCAGAGAATGATTTTATCTTATTGACAGCCAGGCATAATGACTGATGAAATTGATAAAGCAGTGCACCAAATGATAATTGATAATGGAGCATATCCTTCACCTCTTGGTTATTGTGGATACCCAAAGAGTGTCTGCACTTCAGTGAATGAATGCATCTGTCATGGGATACCAGATTCTCGTCCCCTTGAGGTAAGCAATCCAAAATCCAGAGATGACAACTTCGAGTAAATAGAGAAACTTACAATTAATCTTCATGGCAGGATGGAGATATCATCAATATTGATGTTACTGTCTACCTCAATGTAAGTCACTCAAAACTTATGTCTACAAACTGAAACGATTGTTTTTTTTCTTTGAAACTTCTTTGCTTCCATCAAACAACAAATCAACAACAACAACAAAACCAGCAAATCTTTAGGGCCTGTTTGCTTTAAAGCCTGGCAATCAATGCCTGGCGCAGGCATCCATCCCATCCCAGACATCGGATTTTAGACGCCTATGGTTGGATGGACCTGCCTGCCCCAGAGCCCCAGACCAGGGCTTGAAAGTAAACAGCCCTTAGTCCCAAGCAAGTTGGGGTCGGCTAAACTTTTGTGCTTCCATCACAAGAAAAAAGAAAGAAAGAAATATCTGTGCTTACTTGACTGTCATCAATACAACAACAAAGCCTTTTAAGCAAGTTGGGGTAGGCTAGAGTTGAAACCCAACATGAGCCCCCAGTCACGGTTCAAGCACACTTGACTGTCATCAATGCTTTAGATTTTTTTTTTCTGGACAACCTTTGTAATGACTTCCTTAAGAGATATATTGTTCTTCTGATTCATTGTACAGTCATGCATATGCCTCCATTTTCACGGCACACAAAATTTTCACATATGTTCATATCAGTTCAGTCCCATCTGTTTATTGATATGGATTGCTGCAAGTTTGTTCTTTTAATGCATATGCACTTATGGCCGGTGCATTTGTGAAATGCTCCATTGCAATTTTATAATATTTATGTTCAACATTCCAGGGCTACCATGGCGATACATCTGCTACATTTCTTTGTGGTGATGTTGATGACGAAGCTAGGAAATTAGTTAAGGTGATCTCAATGGTGTCTGGTGATCAATTTGTAATCAAGTACCATCGAATTGAGAATACTGATTGTGAAGAATGTGAATCTAAATTTAAGAGATCTAATTGAGATAGAATGTTTGACCAAGGCAATTCTTGCAGAAGGTTCTCTTAGCAAAAAAAAAAAAGTTTGCTATGATGATTCATTCTAAGTTGTATGTATTTTTTCTCAATCAGGTGACAAGAGAATGTCTTGACAAGGCTATATCAATTTGTGCACCTGGGGTGGAGATCAAACAAATTGGTAGAACTATACAGTATGTAAATGAGAAGCTGTATCACTGGATTTACATATGTGCTTGTTTCTTTTCATCATTACTTTTCTACGGTGCTGATTCTTGAATTATTTTATTAGATTCTGAATAAGTTTTGCAAACTTTCTGCAAATAAAATCTACATGTTGCCACACTTTTGGTTATGGTGCATCTATCATAGAACATAACTTGAATTTTGACAATAATGGACAGCAGCAGCAACAATAAAACCTTTTAGGCCTAAGCAAGTGGGTTAGGCTAGAGATTATTTCTGAATAACCAATGCTCTTTAACAGATGCACGGAATACTTCTATTATCTTTATCTTAAAAAACAATATACAGTGTATCGATAAGTTGTATTGTCTTAAATTGTATGCGTAACAGATCTGATAATAAAAATGAACTCTTATTCCTTCTGTAGACTTGTGTCATCGATTCATTGACATGTTTTTTTGCCATGATTTCAAACTGACAACTACCATACTTAGACACTTAATCTTTGAAGGGATCATGCAGACAAGTTCAAGTTTGGTGTAGTTCGACAGTTTGTCGGCCATGGGGTTGGCAAAGTTTTTCATGCTGAGCCTGTTGTGCTTCATTTCAGTGAGTTCCCCACTTTAACAAAACATCTTTTTACTAATTGTTGTCTCGTCTCCCGACTATCTCAAGGTTCTAGTTGCATTCTGCACCATATTAGGATGTGATATCTGTGCCAATGACTTCGAAATTTGCAGGAAACAATGAATGGGGCGGTATGATGTTGAATCAAACATTTACTATAGGTACACCTTTCCACAGCTTGCCCGTGTTCTATTGACCTGTGATTAAAATTGCTGCCCTTGTTCTATCGACCTGTGATTAAAATTTCACACACTGTAACCTAGAGATAACATTTTTTTTAAAAGTCAGGTACATTATTTTGCAGTTCTTTCAGCCCTGATCTAAGATCATTGCATTTTGTCACTGCCATCGTCTTGAGCATATTTTTTACACTACTGCCATGTAATGTTTTTTTTTGGCTAGTAAACATATTATAGTAGAATAGAACTCTTAGTTTAACTGATATTCACTAAGCAAGGTAAAGCATATGAAGCTAACTCACTCCATCGCCCTTTTCTATCGTTCTATGTCATCAGAGCCCATGCTAACCATAGGGAGCATAAACCCTGTCATGTGGTCCGATGACTGGACCGCAGTGACAGAAGACGGCAGCTTGTCAGCACAGTTCGAGCTCACGATACTCATTACTGAAGATGGCCCGGAAATATTGACCCAGTGTTAATGGAAGGCCAAATAACAATGAACAACTGATAGTCTGGCTGGCGAGATCCTGCATTTTTTCGGGGACTAATTGGTCCAACCTAAACTCTGATGCATAATGGCAAACTCACATTGTAATCTCGGTTCATCGTTACAATGACATATGTATAGAAATTGTACTATTTTTGGCGTTAAATCTGAGTGTATGTTGGTGTTTGGTTGAGATGTCATCAAGCGGCCGAGTGGTTGCAAGTAGGCCTGACAGTTCTGATTTGAGTTGGTTGGTCGCTGGGATTGCCGAAAGGCATATCTCGCCTCATTGGTTAGGCCAAGCACAGGACCTTTGCTTGGCTTACACTTTTCCGCGAGTGATTGATCAGGTCAGTCACTCAAAATGACAGAGATCAGGTTGGTTTGTGCTGTTGCTTGTACAACCCTAGTAGTATTAGCTTTATTCCGTATTACTGTATGACGAGCCTGTATCTGAGATTCTGTTACCTTCTGACTTCTGCGGCAGGTTAACTGAAGCTTCGAACATTTAAACAAGGCACCAATTTGCAATAGAGAATGCACCCTCACTAATCATGGTTGATAATGATTGCACAAAAGTACTTACCCTCGTAATCAAATACAGTGAAATCCCTTCGCTGCATTCCTCCTGTCACTCTGTGCTTCGGCCACAGTCCTGTACACCACAGAAAAACCTAATCTGACAAGTGGGCCACAATGCTAGCATCAACAGAGCCCCCACGTGACAGAGGCAGCCTGAAAGCCCCAACAAAGGGATTTGCTTCATATTCCTAGTAGTTTCCCCCTTCTTCGTTTGCGGAAACGAGAGCGCCCAAACGAATTGCGAAGTCGGAGGCGCCGTCCGATTCCAGAAGTTTCCATCGGCGTGACGATCGTGTTTAGCCTGCGCATTGGTCTGGTCGTCGGCGTCGGTCGAGTCGTGGGGTGCGCGGTCGTGCGAGATCGAGGCGGGGAGCTCGCGAATCGGAGGCCGCGGGGCGCAATGCCGCGTCGGTAGGGATGGCGGAGGCGGCGCCATGGCGAGGGGCATAGCGCGGGCGGTGTCGTTCGGGGGCCGCGCCACCACGGGGTGGTGCTCCTACCGGCGCGTCACCGTGGCCGTCTGCCTCGGCAACCTCGTCGCCGCACTGCTCGTGCTCCGCTCCCTCACCGCCCCCGCTTCCTTCGCACCCACCGTTCCCAACCGTGAGTGGAATCCCTGGCCATGTTTACACCTTCGGTTTACCCCTACTTTCTTTGATCTGACTAGGTGTTATTTGATCTTTTCTTCAGGAGGGGAAGTGGTGCAGTATACGGAGGAGCAGATTAGGAGGGTGGAGGAGTCGATCCGGATTCGCCGCGAGTTGGAGCCCGTTGAGCTCGTTCGGGCGGTACTTCCAATGGACAACTCTTTTAAAAAATTTCGTATGTTCTTTGTGTTGATAGATTAGTACCTAATAGTACTTACGATCTAGTCCACTGAAATTCTGAATGCAAAGGTAAAGAAGCTGCGGAAGAAATTCGCCCAGGAGTTGAAGCGGCGGGAGGAGCTGCCTCAGGTGCTGAAGCAGAAGGTTTCTTATGATATTGTGCGGCGGCTGCACGACTTGGGAGATAACAGTAGCCTTGCGCAACAAAGAGGTATTCTGTGTAGGGCTGCTGTTTTATGTACAATGAGATTGCGCTCTTTTTTATATCACCTGTGCATAACTCGGCCCTCTATGTTTATCTTATCTCATTATCGGATGCCCACTTGGCATGCATTTGTGCTATGGGCCTATTTTGACACATCCACTGGAGACCTGAAGAGAAGTGTTTTTAAATTTCTCAGTGCTTATCAGTTCAAGTTGCACTTATGACCCGTGCTAAATGCTGTTGCCTGAGTGGTTCTTTGAGCATAATGAAAGTATGAATTATTCTGTAAAGAAAAATGATGAGATAGGAAGCCCAATGAGCTAATGGTCTTAGTCGTTTGGCACGAGCGTTCCTTCAGTCTCTGCTTAGTCTGTTTCCACTATGTTCTCCATCACTTTAAAAATTTACTCTAAACGTGATCCTTCTGGCTTTGTGCTATGCATGCTTCCTTCTTGCTTTTGCAGCATGCAATTGCAAGCATGCAAGATCTAGATTGATTTATTACCAAACCAGTCTTCTATTATTGTACAGAGCTTGAAGTATATCTCTCTCTTTTATTGATATATATGGGCATATGGCAGAAGTGGTGGAATCATGGCGTGTTGAGAAGTTAAAAGACATCAAAGTTGCATCCACTCGGAATCAATCAAATTTGGACCTATCTAGTGAGGAAACCAGTATGTGACCATAACTTTCTGTTTTGGTACCTTTGGTGCTTCTATATATTTTGTTTCCTCAACTGTAAAACTTGAGTTTGGTCTTACCCTGTAGGAATGTTAAAACGAGCCCTGGAGTTCAACTGGCATATGCTTATGGAGGATATTAGCCTTTGGATACCAGACGAAGTCACACATACTGTACATGATGATAAACCTGAAAATGAACCAGAAGGTTTGTTCTTATATGGTGATGCAATGTGTTTGTGTTGATTTATGATGTTTAGAGCACTTGGTGTCAAGTTGGATCCTTTGTGTACTTACTTGATGAGTTAATTTATGATTTCCAATGTTCTCTACTGTTGCAGAAGAAGAGATAGTAGCAGGTCCACCCTTGTCCCCACAATGTAATGCTGAGCTACATACAGATTATGATGGTGCCGCTGTTAGATGGGGTTTAACACACCACAAAGAATCTGCTGCTGATTGTTGTCAAGCTTGTCTTGATCAAGCTCAGAATGCCAAGCCAGGGGAATTGAAGTGCAATCTATGGGTTTATTGCCCATCGGAATTTGGATGCTTCTCACCAGACAAATATGAGCATAAACATCAGGAGTGCTGGTTGAAACAGGTAGTGCATGTCTGTTCTATATGTGTTTTGGCAACCAGTGCAGCCCTTTGATTTTTGGATAATTGTTGGCAATGCCTGATTCTTCATGATTCCTAACTAAAGACCTCAGTGTTTTATGCATTTTGTGTGTATCACACAGGTTAATTGTTATTAATAGTATGGAAATGAGGTGATATTGTATATTACTTCCAAGTTCAAAACCACTGTAGTTTCCTATAAGTCTCTAACTTGTTGTAGGGATTTGTATAGCAGAAGCAAGATAAAAACATGGTGCTGTTGCACATTTATTGTACCATACTTTCATATAGCCATTACAGTTGTTTTTGGCTATGATTGCAGAGTAATCTTATTTTTCGCAAGTTTGCAACTCGTTGAAGCTTGTGGATGAAGTGCAGTTTATCTCATTGTTAGCTGAGATATGCATTTTGTAGCAATTTTTACCTAATCTGTATAATGAGTTAGGATGGTGCATGGACAAGTTAGTGGTATATTGGTTTACATTCTTAGATTTATTTAAGCTTGTATTCTTTGTAAAAAAAATCAATAGTCCTGGTAACAAACTAACAATCAATTTTCTTATTATAGTGGATGTAGCGGTCTCCTCGCATTGCACAGGCGAGGGTAAGGCTTACCACTGACACCCTTCCCCAGACCCCGCACAGAGCGGGAGCTCTCTGCACTGGGTACGCCCTTTTTTTTAGTGGATGTAAATGTGTCTGTTATTGCATAAGTCTGGTTTATGATGGCATGATGATAATTGGGCAAGCTGATTTGTCTTGCTACATTACTAATAAATAGTTAGACAAAGCTGAAGGTTCCTTCATGTTAGGTTTTTGTCTATAATACAAGACTACTATTTGTTCAAACCTCTGGTCACTTGTTTTTGAATTTGTCATGTGGGAGTAAATGCAAAAGGCATTTCCATTTCCCTCGCAAATATATCTCACTTATGATGGTTTTTGCTGTTACCTGCAGGCTGACCACCCCAAACTGAACTTCAAAGACAAGTATTCGGAGCCTTACAGAGATGCTCATCCCACTGCACCTGTTGTGGTGCCGTGGATGTCTGGTGTCATCAGTGCATGAGCTACCAGTCCCCCAGCAGCTCAGTTGAGACTCAGTCCTGATCCAACTTCAACAGACAACCATACAGTTTTTTTTTTCCTTTCGTGACTATACTCTTTTCCTTTTCCTCTTACTGCCCTGGTATATACGATGTAAAAGTAAAACTTAGCTTAGTCGACCTGGCAGCGAAAGTTTTTGAGCGATGCTTGTTGGGGTAAACACAGTTGGATTTGGTGGTGGTTAATTGAATTCAGTGATTCACCTATTGGTGATCTTCCAATTTTCCTCTGATTAATATTGATGTTATCAGTTTGCGGCGATGCTCCTGAAGAAGCTCCAAAGTCCATACGCCCCTGAGTTCCGACGCCTGTGTGGTCGGTTTGTCATTTGTGTGGTCGGTTGAAGATCGGTTCGGTTGATTCGCTTCAGCAGCCCGGCTTTGTGGTCGGTTCCCACTTCCCAAATCCCAACAGCTCCTCTCTCGCGTGGTTCCTCATCGCTTACGCTAGTCGCGATCCACCAAACCATGTCGAGCGGGGTCGGCGGCGGCGGGCGGCGAGGGTGGAGCCCGTTCGACGCGATCCGCAGCTTCCCATCTACACCCGAGTCGCTCATGTCGCAGATCGACGCGGCCATCGCCTCCACCGAGTACGCACGCGCCTGCGCCCTCCTCGACCCCGCCCCAGCCTCAGCCTCCTCACAGCCGCCGGCGCAGAAGGAGACGGGGCCCGAGGGTCAGGGAGACCGGGGAGCCTCCCCTCCGGCCTGCTACGACGCGAGGGTCGCGGACGAGGCGTATCGCGCGGCGTGCGCGGCGCTGGGGGCGGGACGGCCCGACGCCGCCGTGCGGTCGCTGCGGACGGCGCTGGCGAGCTGCCCGCCGGACAAGACCGCGGCCGTGGCCAAGGTGAGGTCCATGCTGGCCATCGCGTCAGCGCAGCTGCACAAGCAGCAGCACCAGGCCCAGCAGCAGAGCAGGAAGTGAGCCAGTGAGGTCGTCCTACTTCGTCATAGCTGCAACCTGTTGATGTAATTACTGACTGCGATATCTCATTCGGCCATGATCAGATGCACTAATCGTTCAGGTTAATGCATCATGTTCCATTTGCAGCCATGTATGTGGCCCAATATCATGGAAAGGGTATTCTGTGTATTGCCACTGCCATCTGCCCATCTAATAAACAATTCGCTAGCTTTAGTTGCAAAATCTCATCATCTCTTCAGTATATTCTGTCAGAATTACATGAATCGTCTGAGCACTGAATCTACAAGGGGAAACACAGCATCGGTAGCAATCTTGCATACAGTGACACTCTGCTTAGCTGGCCACACACAGTTCTTGCCCCCAATGTTGCATGGTGAAAGAGAAACCATGGACACGACAACCATACCGCATGAGCAAACTCCTTAAAATCCTTCAGACTGCCACATCAAAACCAACATTATTAATGTCTCTCTTCAGAAAACATCCAGGGTGGACAATCCCTTAAGCAACTCGTCAGGAAAAGGAGAGCAGTATCAAGCAGAAATATACCAAAGTTCAGCTAACTTACAGGGGTTAAAGCTCAATCTCGGCAGTTTGTCCTATGTAGCATGTGCTAGGAAAACCCTGGTCATGTTCGCCTACCTTCCCAACGTGATGCAAAGGATGATCAGAATTCAGACATAGCGATGCAAAGGACGATCCACCCACGTTCCCGCTGAAGACGCCCTTCTCAGCAGCGTGCACAACACAAAGCGAGGGCCGCCAGTCGCAGACGTAGCGTACTGAGCAGCGTGGGACGGTGGGAGGCGCGATCCGTGGCCGTGGCTTCTCCGCTCAGCAGCACAGCGCACCACCAGCAGTGCAGGAAGCCACTTCATGATCAACCAGATGCTCTGTTTGGACAAGTTTATCAAATAACAGTACTGTAGATGTATAACAAGATGCATTTCCATTTACGTGATTATAGACTCGAAAAAAATCATCCTTTGTCCGGCTTCGCAAGGACGAGAGTAAACATAGATACTAGCAAATTCGTTGGAAAAGTATGACCCAATCGAAAAAGTGTTTTCTAAACAGTTTGTTATCCTTGCACGGGGTGTATTCAATATGGAAATCCTGAACAATTTGTGGAAATCTCATCATCTGTTTCTATTTTGTCTGAATCATTGTGTACATCCGACTTTGAACTCTGAGTTAACATGGGAAGACGCTAGCAATCTAGCATACATCTATGTGCTTCGCTCCTACCTCTGAACTAATTATTGACTCCCAAAATTGCATCGGAAAAGAGAAGCCAAGATTCGGCTATAACAATGATCGTAGAGATGGTGCTCTCGCAATATGTTGCATACATTGTCAGACTTTGCATTCACTGGTGTCGGGTGAAGGCCTGTCGAAAAAACACCTCCCAACTAAAATCCTTATTAAGGAGCGGTGGACCTCACAGGCACTTCTTTACTTCAGGGAATACCGGGTTTTCCTTATTTGCAGCTTCAACATCATCTGGTGATGCAACGGCAACCACGACCCCGTTGTCCTTGATGGTTTCAACAGCATCAGCAAACTCCTTGAAATCCTTCGGACTGTCACATGAAAAAAAAGCAATACAGTTTAAATCCAGTGTGACAATCCAATAAGCTGGAAAATAAAAAGGTATGCCGATTGGATCATGGATTTGCCTACCTTGTTGATAGTATCTCTTCACGTCTTTGCTGGCGTTCCTCATCCGTGATGCCCAGCAAATATCTCATTAGGCTGAAAAAAAAGCCATCATGCATGTTTAGCACAGCTACATAATATTTATGTGCTATGACCCCACACTAAAGAAAGAGCTAGTCGTCATTGGGAATGTGGTACGTTGCCACGTTCCTCGTCCCGGGAACGCCGTTCCCGTTCCGGAAACAATCTGGTCCCCGCAGTGGGAAAACCTTTCTTAAGAAGCATAGCACATTTCTCGATTCTTGTTCCACGACTCAATCGTCCTAGAACTTTGTGACTATGGAACTAGTTCATGCATGTTTGATCATCGTATTTTCATAAAACAGCCAATCTATAACAAAATGTATCAGAACAAATGTTGCTGTATCTACTAAGATGATAACTTCCGACCCAACCAATATCACAACCAGCAGCAAGATGTGTTCAGCGATCAGGGCGCACAAGCCACAGGACCCATTTCCCCAAAACAAATTACCAATTTACTAAACTTTAGTTATTCTAATAATCATTTTAAAGCTTTGGCCTACTGCACTGTCCATGAACAGGCCTACGAGTGACAAGATACCAGTTTACAGTACATCACTGTCAGCTCTGATCAGAGTAGATGTTTCGATCAAAACCACCAATGATAAGGCATATCATCAATTGTTGGTTAATTGGTATCATCAATTGTTGGTTAATTTGTATCATCAATTGTTGGTTAATTTGTATCATCAATTGTTGGTTGATTTGTGCTGGACAAGAGTATGCAGCATAAATAGAGGCTTGCATACCTGCTGTAACCTTTAGCATCTGGTAGCTGGTAGGCGTCAACATCGCCTATGGTTCCAATAATAGCTTTTGTGAGTGCATCATCATCCATTTCTAGCTCTCTGAGGAATCTTGCTGTCTCGTCATAGACCTCTAGTGTTTTCAGTAAGTTTGGATCACGATATGATAAATATGAGAACACTCCTGAAACAGTAAACAATATTTAGCACTGTGTGAATAGTTTACCATGCAGAAAGCGTTACACATAACTATAATAATAAATATGAATGGGCAACGGAACATTTTTCTTATTGTTTTACTAGTTATATAGAAAATGTTGAAATAACAAATCATCAAACAGAGCTAGAATAGAACCTGAATGGGTGTCAAAATCACAAAATCCTCCATATGCACCACCGCTAACTCGAACACGATCCCATAGCCATGTATTGCTTATGTGCTTTGAGATGACATAGGCGCTTCCATTGAGCTGGTATCCACTTTGGTAAAGGTTTCCAGCTTTTCCAACATAATTAACCTTCAACAACGGATAAAATGATATTGAAAATTTTCAATATGCCAAATTGCCAATGAGTAATAATCTCTCCGTGATTGCTGAAAGCATTCAGACAACTAGCCATTACCTGAGTTGGGACAACAATGGCTTCATTCACAGAAGGTAGCCGAGAAAGCCATGGATCACTTCCAAGGGATGGGCTACTTGGGAGTGAATCAAGAAATTTGGCAATATGTTGGCTTGATTTTTCAAGATTTTTCCAGTCACTTGTTAGGTTGATCAAGCAACCATTCTTGGAAAAGAGTGATTTTCTCATTTCCTCGAGTGAAGATGATATGCTGACCCAGTCTTGATCAATCTTAGTTTCCAGGTCCCGCAGATACTCAAGATAACTGCCAACAGCAACATATAGATAAACGAATATCTCACATGGCAGCATGTTGATAAGAATTATGGCTACTTGAAGACAACTGCACTTCTTATAAATGGCTTCTCAAAGCACTGAAAGCAAAATCCGTCACACAAAAGAAAGAAAAAAGAAGAATAAACCAAGAAACCAAATCATAGATGTAAGCTACAGTAGTCTAGCACAGAGCACTCCGGGTGGTAATGATAAATTCCATTCTGGGAACCAGCCGACCTGACAATCCACATATGTGCATATAACACAAAGAATCTTACCTAACACCACCCATTTGTTCAGAAATCCATCCAGCTGCATTTAACTTAGCATCCATTCTAGCAGCTGCTATGCCATGGCCACTGCCCCTCAATCGATTCTGTATTGGACAAAGTATTAAATAACCAGATCAAAACCATGCTTATGACAATATATAGCACAAAGATGCCAGTTTATTACCTCCATCCTTGCTTTACTTTGAGAAACAAACTGCTTGAACCTCTGCTGTTCTGTGAATTGAACATCTTGAAGAATGATGTACATCTGAAATAACAGAAAAGTCATTTATTTTCATTATGTAAATATGATAGCAGCAATTGTCTGACAAGATCAGTTCTCATGCAAGTCAACAAATTAACCAGCAAGCATGTCTTCTACACCTGGCATTCCCTTTGCCAATATGGTCCACATACAACATTATCAAACACATACCAGATTAAACAAATCTTCTACTCGTGGAGCCATTGCCTTTCCCCGAACGATGATGCGAGTAAGAGGATCTTCTTTTCCCCTAACCGATGACGTGAATGGGTAAACTGATATGCCTCCAGTTTTTCTACCAATTAATTGATTAAGTTGCACAAAGTCCATGTCTTTTGTGCCCATCTCCAGTAAGGATTGGCTGGTACACATGCTCATAATTAGTTCAAAAGCCATATAATATGCAGGAATATCTTCATGATAGATCAACAGCAGTGCATCAGTCAACCAGCTCACCAGAACAATGGCAACAATTGCAGATGTTCTTTCTTCATTGAACCCATATCAAATACAACCTCAGAGTAGACGACATCATTGGTGAAGAGATCATGTTGCAAAACCTTGACACCATTTATCTCTCCAACCTACATGTGTTTGTCATTTACCATCAACTTGTAGTCTACATATAAAACAGCAAAATGAAGAAGATAAAGAAATATAACCTACCCAGGAAAAGAAAGGTAACACTACTCATTATCTTAAAATTTTAAAAGTTTATAATTCGAAGATTATCAACTGCCCAATACATATCCTGAGAAAAATATTTATGATATACTTGATTGGTAACTTTTGCTGATAGATAGACAAGCATTCAGCCTGCACCAATAAGTGGCACAGAATTTCTTACTGTGCAGGGTAAGGAGGCATATGGTACACAGAAGTTAGATTGTCCTAGAAATTTTGTGCTATCCGCTAAAAAGACTTTTAAGTTCACCAATGTCACATTAACTCTTTATTTAGGTGAAAGTTTCAGAAAATAAGGAATCTGAAAAATCTACATCACACATATTGGCTCCTAAATAATTTTCCTCGTTACCAAGTTGTAGTAATAACTTCTGGCCAGCAGCCCAATACATGTAACTCCCATCAAGGCTAGATTTTTCATAACAAATTTATATTTAGCTTAGCACTAAGCTGGGCAGACTGCTGATTTCTTCAGAAACTACTTGGAAAACTAAGAACTAGGAACAATTCAAATAGAACACTAGGCTAGATTTCATGATTTATTTATTTTTTTAATAAAAAAAATGCAGAACATTGGCCAAATATGTCACAATTGCGAGCCAAAGAACTACCTCAATTGGTACATGAGTAGGCTTTTTTGGGATATCTTGCAATGACAGACTAGGAACAGCCTTGAGAGCTTCTGGAGGATCTGGTGTTTCTTGTTTTTCCTTTAGCTCCTTTGTAGCACGTGCCAACTCCGCAAGATCTTCCTGAGTCATGCTAGCTTTCACTTGTTTTAGGATTTCTTTCTCAGCTGCTTCATCACGTGATGCTTTCTCTGGATCAGGCTGCACATTGAAGGTTTAAATTTGAAGTATATCTGAGCCATAAAAAAGCTAGTTCGGTGTACACAATATGAAGGGAGAAGTTCTCTACTGACCTGCATTTCAACTGTGACACGATGTGAATTCTTCAAAATAAATTTCTCAATGAGCGGTGAGAACACAGCTTTTGATCCCTCCTCTGCAATTCGTGCTTTTAATTGCTGCAGTGGCTGTTCATATTTCAGAGGCTCAAAAGGGTCCATATCATATATCCATTTCCCCTGCATTTTTTTTTTGGTGAAGACATTACATGAATATCTTCAAACGTATGGATTTTCTTAAAATGAAAATCATGAGATAGTTATTCATACAATTGAACGAAGCATCAGTGACAAGCCTCGAGGGAATGACCCTGTGTTGTTCTCCCTAAGAGAAAATTCGATCGTGTTCATGGAAGCCTCCACCGCTTCTGTTGCAAATCCTTCCTCTGCCAAATTCTTCAAAGTTTGCATAACCAACTCTTCAACTTTTTGAATATTATCCTCTGATACACCTTTCAGGCCTATGCTAAATTGTGGTTGAAGGAGCTCATCCTCAACACCACCTCCCACAATAGCTTCTCCTAGACCACTTTCAAGAAGAATCCTTCTAAGTGGTGAAGCTGGAGTCCCCAGCAATAGATGATCCAGGAAACCAAGTGCAAGCTCAGTTTCTACATCTAATGGCTCCTCTGACAAAAGCCAATTGATGCACACCATATATTTCTTTGTCAAATCACCTTCTTGACCAGCAGGATACTTCTCTATGATCCTCACAGGTTCTTTGAATAGCCTCTGTGGCCAAACCTTCGATTCATTAGGAGCAGGGCTGGCTTCAAACTGGTCAAGGTATTCTACAGAAGAAAGGGGAAAGAAAAGGATAGACATTTTACAAGGGATAAGAAACAGGAAACTTGGAGGATCATGAAAAAGGTGGTTACAAAAACAGCAGCCATGCGAGTACAATCAGTATTTGCTTTTAGATTTGCAACTTACCACTTAGAACGCGTAGACGCTCTTTTGGGTCATCATCACCATAGAACCAGATCCTAGCATTGCTTGGATGATAATACTTACTATGGAACTCCTGCAGACGAGCAAGACATACAAGTAATTAACAGCTAACTAAGCAACCAATATTAGCTTAGTGATACTCCAAAAGATACAGATAATTTTTGTTGGTGCTAGAATGAAATCTGGTGAGGTGATCTAGCACTTGTTTTTTTATACATCACAATGAAAACCACCAATTATTAAAATTAACTCTAAAAGAGTAAAGGGCCCAAGCAATAGCTAACAGCTCAAAGGAAACTACATCATGAAGCACTGCATTGCTGGTACAAAGTATATACAAGCAAATGACATGGTAAGTACCAATAAGTGAGGATCCAAAATTTGGATCCAGGTTGATAACAAACCTTGAATTCTTCAAAAGTAAGCTTTGGGATTTCATTTGGGTCCCCACCACTATCAACACCATATGTGTTATCAGGGGAAAGTGCCTGCAGAATGTTCTGAAAAGTTAGTCCTTGTACTTGTAACAACTGGAAAAATAAGATCATGAAAAGAGAGGCCATAAAAAATGCCTACGAACAGAAAAAAAAAAGAAGCACCCAGGTATATTAGCACAAACAGATAAATTGGAAAAGAATCTATCAAGGAAGCATATACTAATAAAGTTACTGCAACCTACTGTACTAAAGCCTAGAATAAACCCAATATAAACTTTAAACAAGAAAGCAGAATGAATACAGGTGAAATGCAACATCTCTGGACCCAGGTTCATTGCAATGCTTAGTCAAGCAACTCATTAGAAAAAAAGAGCAATATACCAACCTATAGGTCTGGACCTGGTCTCATCTGGTAATGACAGTACATAAATTAACCAAAATTCAACTAATTATATGGTCAAACCATCAAAGTTCAATCTCAGCAATAGATTAAGGTAGTAGAAGGGCCTGATCATGTTATGCCCTTTGACAAGGAGATATCAGGGCAATATCGTGTAAAGGATAATAAGATATGCAATCGCATTGCATTCTCCTAAAGGCTAGTAAAATCGAACAAGATGCCAAGAAATTTAACACCTGAAACAGAACACTAATTTACCTGTTGGGATACACGTCCCATTATGTTATCAGGTTGAGAGTAAACTCCTTTCATCTCATTGAAGACGACACCTAAAATTGTTAAAGGATTATATTCGAATGCATTTTGAATGACAAGTAATGTCACATGTAAATTTGCTTGCTCTATTAAGTTAGATTGAGCAAACAAACCTTTGTATGTTATCTCTTCTTCAGGGTTGTCAAGCTCATAGTGCCAACCTTCTTGTTGAAATGTTTGGAAGTCGTCAACACATTTAGGGAAAAAGACTGCATCAAGGTATACGTCTACCAAGTTGTAAAAATCCTGGAAAGCAACCAAGTGTACGATGATAATGTTAAACAAAGAGTTGCTGAACAAATGATGCAAGCACATTTGTGGTCATTAGGTCTTACCTTAGTGTTTGTTGATGCAACCGGATAACATGTCCGATCTGGATATGTGAATGCATTCAGGAATGTATGCAGACTACCCTTTAGGAGCTCCACAAATGGTTCTTTTAAAGGGTATTTTCTTGATCCACAGAGAACACTATGTTCAAGGATGTGGGGTATGCCAGTCGAATTTTTCCTGGTCACAAAAATAATCTTCTTTAAAACACGAAAATAAGCTTACATGCGATGATTCACTCTTTCACTATATGTGCCTCCTCATTTTTTTGTACAGCAAATCCTATGTGTAATGGACATCGGAATACTAATTTACCATAGACAAAACAAAGAAGCAAGGATTAACTGCACTTACGGAGGGGTACGGAAAACAATGCCAAACACTTTATTCTCATCATCATTTGACACAGACATCACTTCAGCCCCCGTCTTCTTGTGCTTGTAAAGAACAGCAGTTGATTTGCACTCATCTATAGTCTGTTCAGAGACCTTTTCAAATCCAAGTTTTGCGGCATACTCATGTATGTCATCTGTATCTGCTTATGTCAGAAGAAAGAGGTCACACATTTGATGAACATATGGCCTTGATTTTTTCAAATAACAAAAGGATGCAGGTTGAATGATGGCTTCTTTTCAAGTAGCATATAAATTGGCCTTCCCCAACGCTGCTTTTTTACTAGTAGCCCCAAGGGCCATGTAGGAACGGATAAAAAAAATAGGTGCTCTGCACTTGTCATAGCGGCTTGCAGAAGCTACGTATGCTTGGGGAGAGAGAAGGTGGTCCATGCTAAAAAAGAAGAGGGAGAGGAAATAAAGGTAAGCATGATCAAAGGAAAAGTTTCTTTGCAAACCACAAGTAGTGATAGTTTGCATTGTGTAAATAGTAGTCTCAACATTTCCTAGTCTATGTGGATCACTTTATTTGTACTAGAACCACTAAGAGTGTTAGCCTCCATTGGTGGTGCCCTATCAGCTCCAGCAGCCTCATGTCAACACTATGAGCAAAAATCACAGGGCAAATGCATGATTTATGTGCCAAAGAAATGAAGAATCAATCATGAGACCTAAAACAGTACACAAAGGGAAACCCCACCATACACTAGCCATCATTTTCATTCCAAACCAACTATACAGTTCGCAGCGATTCAACACATTGCCTCCTTTTGCTTCGGCAATTGCAAGTAAAATAGCACACCTCACAACCCTTTGTTCCGCTACAGATAGTTCCAAACAGAAGCAGTTCTGTTCTCACCATAGGGCACAGGAGAGGGCGAGGTAGATACAGCGGGGGCGGACAGCCTCCGCGCGAGCTGGGGCGCAGCGACCGGCCAGTATCGGCCGGAGCAGTGCAGCGGCGCCGCCGCGGCCAGGAATCGCGAGCCGCCGCGGGGCAGAGCCGAGTAGCCGCGCGCCGGGAGTGAGAACGAGGACGTCCGGCGTGCCAAGGATGAGGCCGCGGCGGCGGGCACGACGACGGACCTGCCCCTGCGGCAGCGGTGTAGGAGGCGGCGGCCTGAAGTGCGGAGCAGCGCCACCCGCTCCATGCCGCCGGTGTCCAGCTTGCCGGTCTGCCTCTGGACTCTGGAGTTCTGGATTGGAGTTACGGGCGGCGTAGGTTGTTGCTGGGAGTGGGACTGCGATTAGGCTCTCGGTTCGTTTCCTGGGCTGTCCCGGTGGCGAGGTTTTTACTTGGGCTTAAAGAAGCTGATGAGGAGAGGAGAAAAATCTTCGATTTTTGTCTGGCTCTTTTGAGTTTTTTTCTGGTGGATTTTTTTATGGCTGGGATTGATCGATGGAATTTCGTTTGGCTGATGGTGAGTTGGTGTGAATTGTGGTACACGCAAAGTGTTTGGGAATTTTGGCGTCTTTTGGACGTGTCTTCAGCGTGGACATTGAAGGGATGTAGAGTTTTGCAAGTTTGTCTTCGGTGTTTTGAATTCTACTGTACCTTATTTCCGAATAAAAGGATCTTTTATAGAATTCCAAATACCATTTTTATTTTTATTTCATTTCATTGGCATGGCTACAATTTTGGCTCTCTTCTTAGAATATTTTTTCTAAATAAAATAAAACTCAAGTTGGGCCTTCCAGCCTCGGTACACCGCCAAATCCATTGTGTGGGCCCATGGGCAGGCAAATGCCCTTCCGCCTGTTTAACTGAAACCGCATAAATTTGCTATGAGGTGGAGCCCCCCCAACCCAAGAAGGCAACACTTGCTCGTTTACATTAGTCTCCGCCACGTTTGTATCCACCTCTTGCGCCTTTCTTTTCCGCCTCAAAACCTCCTCGCTCCTCGGCGCGACGTGCATCTCCGTAGACCATACCCAACGCGATGGAGATCATGTCACCGCGGCCGCCGCAGGAGTTCCTGCTCGACAACGCGGCCGCCGGCGCCTACACCCCAAAGTCCGCGATCATGAACCCGTTCGCCTCCACCGACGACGTGGCGGCGGGCAACCCCTTCCTGGCCACCACGGCGGTGACGGCGCCCCCGTCGCCCAACCCGTTCGAGCAACTCCCTCCCGGCGCCTCCGGCGCCGACCCCTTCGACCTCTTCCAGCACTTCACCAGCACTCCCACCAGCCCGGCGCGGGCCGCCGCCATATACGCGCAGTTCGACAGCGTCAACGGCGGCGGCGACAAGGACGACGACGACGACGTGGGGTTCCAGCCCCGCGTGTCTTACTCTATGTCTAAGCCAATGGTCACCTCCACCGTGCCATTCGACTGGGAAGAGAAGCCAGGGAAGCCGAAGGCCGAGTTCGCCAGCGTGGCCGCGACGACTGTGGAAGCGGGCGAGATGGACGACGCGGACTTCGACTTCGGCGTCCTCCTCGACAAGGCCTCCGCGCAGGCGCAAGAACTGACGACGGCGGACGAGCTCTTCGACGAGGGCAAGATCCGACCTCTGAAGCCTCCGCCGCGTTTACTCGAAAGCGGAAGTGTGGGATCCTCGCCACGATCGGTGAGGTCCGTGATGTGGTCTCCCCGGCTACGGGCCCGCCTGACAGGGCCTGGCAGTGCCAATGCCAAATTCGACCCGTTCGCCGCCGCGCTGGCCAAGGCGGCCAATGCCCCCTCCCCTCCTGGCGCCGGCGCCAAACACGACGCGGGCGGCGTCGACTCAGCCTCTTCTCCCATGGATCCCGACGCTGCCACGCCCCCGCCCTCCACTCCTCCGGCCACCAGTAATGGCGGCGGCAGGAAGAAGTGGCGGCTCAGAGACCTGCTCCTCTTCCGGAGGGCAACCAAAGGCCGGACCGCCGGCAACATTAGCAAGGACCCGGTATTCAAGTACGCGCCGGTGCAAGTGCAACAGCCGGTGAAGGCGGCGAGCGCAGGACCCGCGGCTGCCGATGGCCACGCCTCGGCCGGCAAGAACAAGAAGCGGAGCAAGAAGGCGGCGGCAGCAGAGGGCGGCATGCCGATGCCGCAGCGGCAGAACCTAATGGGCTGCGTCCGGCTGCACCCGGGCCTTCACCGGCTGGCCAAAGGGTTCCACGGCCACCTGGAGCACCTCGGCGGCCGCGGCGCCGCCAGGTCGGCGACGTGAAAGGGTAAACGTTTCTTGGAACAACGATAGCCATTTTTCGTTGTGGCATTGCGCCATTTGCTACCCAGTGTACCGTGTACAATTCGGTTCGTTTTTTTTCAGTGTTCTGTTTGGGCCTCGGTTTACTCTCTACCGGGATGTATTATTAAACGACAATGATAGAAGAGATTATGCAATGCTACTACAACTGTCACTTGGATTGCTTGAGACGTGCTTCATTTTATGGAGAAAACCAGCGCCGGCCCCTGCTGAGTCCGGCAGTCCGTGTCCGGTGTCTTCCTGCAGCGAGAGCCGTGAGCAAGCCTGGTGCAGAAATCACCGGGCGGAGGTGAGCTCGTCGGCAATGGTGGCCCCGTCCGCCACTCCACGACATAATTGTTGTCAGGTGACTCGATTGACGACGTGGTTTGAACACGCTGAGATGCCAACCGGTTGTTCTTACCGACAGTAGTCGAGCAAATTTGTGTCGTCGTGCAATGAATCAGGGATCTAATCTGTTAACTATCATACATAATTAGTGTGTGTGTGTGTGTATACACGTAACTTTCATTAGGTGTAAACATCGTTGTAAAGTCAATTTGATCGTTAGTGCTATTCGCTGATAAATCATGTTGTGATCTTTGGTCATCCTACGTGTACGGCAATTATCTTCAAGCCGACCACAATAAGCCATACGAGACTTGTTGAGGAAAGTGTTGGTCATGTTCTGAACCTGTGCACGTCTGCATCACCACACAGATAATTAACATGCAGATCACTTCACAGACACAGATCACACGTCTTAACCGCTAATGATGCGGCAGTGTGACCACCTGAATCGGATTACATTCGCAGAATTATTTGACTGCCTGCCCTGACATTCCATTCCTCTCGCCCGGGTCAAACACAACGTGCCGATGTCACCCCAATCCAAGCCACGAACAGATGTTTCCCTGCCCGGCCAACCACCGCGCCCCTTTTTTTAGTGAGACGTGCAATGCATCTTCTTGAACAAGTCGGCGCAGCACGTACATCCACGTGAGGGTTTGGACGATTTGGTTCGGATGAATCTTGCACGATGCAACGTTGCGGGTCACGACTCACGAGAAGGCACGTATGTTTTGGACAACAAGCAGTGCTTGTTATAAAACATTGTCAGTAGTAAGAATCTTTTTTCTCCATCTCTCGTGATCAACATAGTAGATAAAAATAGAATATATAGACACAAAAGATAGGAGGTTATTCTTTATTTCTCTAAATATTGGTCATTACAACATAGAGCTCCCACATATATATATATATAGTCTTGCTAAGGCTTAAGAGTTTGGTAATAGCCCACATATAAACGGACTAAGATTATGATTTCACCTTCTCCTTTTCTTCTAGATAGAGTTCGTATATTTTACAACACTCTCCCTTGGACGATTACTACGATATACACATGTCTCATTAAAAACTTCATCCGAAAACCCAGTGGAAAAAAACGATTCTTGGAGAAAAGAGTACATTGCATTCGTTAATTGCATTGCACATGTTGTCTCATTAAAAACCTTGCGTGAAAAACCTTCAAGTAAAAACTCACATAGGAAAAAAGAGTACAACATTTAACTTTTTTGGTCATGTATTCTTCAGGATATTCTATTCTTCATGAATAGATATTTATCTTCATGATCTATGCATAAACTACAATGTTTAAGCAAATATGATCTACTTGATATTTGTAATTTTAGTGGTTTACCTTCAAGGTAGATTTAATCAGATATGCTCCCCCTCATAAAGCCATAGTTTGAACTTCATTATTCAAATATCACTTTTTATAATTGTGTGGTTAACTAATGGTATGCGGTACCATAATCCTATATCTTTCAAAAGATAGCTCCTAATTCTTCTATGAATTATAATACAAGTATAAACAAGAGCAATATGCTTCATGCATAATGACCACTTATTAGTTGTGCAAAATAAATAAAATTTATCCTTTAGGGTAAAATCCTTTCAAAGAATTATGGGGATAAATAAGTTACAATATTCAATATCTTATAGATAGTGTATCAAACTTATACTAGAGTTTAAATACTTATAATTCTTTCCTTAGTGGATTTTTAAATTATATGTTTTTCAAATCTTCAGGATTTTAATTGTACCACTAAATAATAAATCCAGTCTTACATTTGGCATTTAGAGAATAATTCAATTGCCAAGATCACCACAATTCTTATACCTTCTATGGTGTTTAGAGGATATCAACACTTCATTTGCTAGCTTTTGATATGTATTTTCTGAGTGTTTATATGACACCTTCATGATGTTTAAGATTCCTTATTTTCTTTCTCTCGGGTCTATATTCACTTCAGGGATCAATGGTGTTTATTCAAGAATCGACTGGTAAATCCTTCATGGATTAGTTCCTTCAAGGATGTTTTTATTTTTGGTGAATTACATTTCTCTTCCACGAGATATATTCTCTACTGCATGAGAGAGTATTCTAAGATATACATAATGAGATAGTGTTATTCACTATAAAGTCATTCGATGACTCTATTCCTTCTAGAACATGCTCTTCTCGAGACTTCAATATTCATACAGGAATATATATTCTACCTTAGACTTCTTAATACGTAGTATGAGATTTAATTTCCATATGTTGTTATTTCTATTCTTTAGGAACTATATGGATTTTCATAATCCATTTACTAACTGCATATTTCATATTCATTCATTTCATTTGCCAGAGACAAAGCAGAACTTGTATTTCTTCTTAGTAAGAGATTCAACCTCAATTGCTTTCTTCATTAACCCGATATAATCGCTACAAGAAACTTTGCCATAGACTTTGTTTTTTGGATCCGGGTTCTTGTAAGAGAAACATTTGCAATTATAGAGGTAGCATTGTCGACAACTATTATTTTCTCCTAATATTCTCACATTGTGAGATTATTCTATCTCTTTGTCATTTCCCAAACAAGAGATAATTTATTGTTCTGCGTACCCAATACTATGATGCGCGCGCTTAGTGTATTGGATTTCATCTTCACGATGATCCTCTTCATGAGGTGCTTAACCTTCTTCATGAGGTATTCTTTTCATGAGAATGGAGGAGTTTGTTCTTTATTTTATTTAACAAATATACACTAAACTAGAACCTATAGGCGTTCCCATAGATTTTAGCGTGATAGTATATAACATTTAGTTTACTACCAGTAAACACAACTTCTGGTTTATAACTTCAAGTTACTCCTCTCATTTTTGAAAATATCTGGCATATGCTCCGCTTCATGCTTCACAAGAGCATTAGTCAAGCTATTGTTTGATTTAGTACGTGATAATATTCCCGCTTCAACCTTCAAGGAATATTTTTCTCTTAAGATCATTTTTCTTCTATGGAAATAATATTTGGCATTCAAAATAGGCTTTCTCTTCACCTAATGCCAATATTAAATCTTTAATAGCATACTTCAAAAGATATCCCCTATCATGGGTTTAAAATAGTTAAAATTCATATATCTCCAACTACAAGTGGATGCACATTCATGTATGCTATGATGAGTTTTTATAGGAAATATTCACGCACATATTTAAACATGAGGTCAATGTTCATTAAATGCATAAAGTGCACTTAAGAATATTCAGCATTCCTATAAACTCAGGGATGTTCTCCCCCTGATTTGCACATATCATAGTTTACAAAAACTATTTCATTGTCTAGTTTCATTATTGTTTAGCCCAAAATTTTGATCCAAGTACTCATACATAAAAAATATGGACCATAACTTTAAATATATAAAATAAGCAACATTCAAACTCGCATGAAATTTTTTCTAGAATTTTCTAATTGACATTAATGCAAAATTTTCCAAATGTCTTTTCTTCAAAAATCCCAAATCATCTAAGTGTGTTATCCACCATCTTAATTCCAGAATCATTCATCCCATCAATTAGGTCACTTCTTCATTTAGCTAATTTCAGATTAACCAACTCTCCCTAATCTTAGGCTACTTGGCCATAGACCAATGTATTGCTTATGCATGCAACGCATTGAAAGCAAAATATTTCTTAGTTCAATGAGAACTAGCGTGCTAGCTAGCCAATTTAATTATGAGGAGAAAATGTAGTAGCTACAAGCTACAAATATAGCTTCTATGCTAATACTCATGCAGGGGTGGAGAAGTTGCAACTCAAGGAGAGCACAATATAGTGATACACATTCATGTGTAATGTGGAATGTTGGTATTCAATCCAACGTAATAGATAACAACAAAATGCAAAGCTACAAGCTTGCTTGCAATTCGTGCAATGTAGAGAAAGTTAACTCGACCGGAGAGGACACGGCTAGGACTTCAAGTCCTGATACACGCACTTAAAGATAGATTTAGAAAGGCTATGCCTATTAAATATATATTACCCATTTTTTCTTATGCATTTATCCAAAATTGCTCACCCTTTTCATGCCATAATTACTTCAAGTAGTAATATGCTTCATGCATCATCTATGAATAATCATTCCTAATGTTTCAAATAATTCAATCATACTTCTAGTATTAATTGATTATGGCATGAAATTCATATATACAATGTACTATTTAGTGTACAACTTTATATTCAGGGTAGAACATAAACTTCTAGTTTTCGGGCTAACATATTAAATACTTAGTTCTAGGATTATACTATTTCTTGGCTAAATCGATCTTTCCAAGATCAGTTAATATGCCAGTATAGTCCAATTGTTTATGTGCTTCTAGAAAATCCACTTTTCCTTCTACATACATGGTAGTAGTGCACAAAGAACTATAACCTTCATGGTTAATTGAGGCTTCTTTGTGGATAAATCATTACAAACTTATTTAGATAGGCAAAAATAAACAATTATTTATATGCAAAACATATAAAACTTATTTATTCCATGCAAGATTGACACAAATTATTATAAGTAAAATTACAACTAAGAATATATAAATGCTTCATATTAATCTTCAAGCTAATAAAGCAATCATTAACTCTTCTATGAGTTTACATATAGTCCA